AAAAAAAAAAAAAAAACTCCATTCGGCCGTGAATAGTAAACTATATACTTCGTCTGTAAAAGGGGGACAAATACTGTTATAATTGTATGTAAACTTCAGTGTGTCCATAATATATAGAAATATCACTAAATAGTGTCGATATCTATACTATATCGGTCCACTATATATGAAAGATATTGCCGCACGGCACCGTATCGCACGATCGAAGCCAGTGTAGACGGAAAAAATCACAAATTGCCATGCGGCAGTAGAAAGAACTGTGTGTATGCGTCAACATGTTTGCCGTCCGCACTCACTTCTATCGTGAGCTACGGTGTCTTGCGGAATATCTTACATATATAGTGGACCAATATAGTATAGATATCGACACTATTTAGTGCTATTTCTATATGTTATGGACACACTGGTAAACTTACGTTGCTGTGAAACTTTTGACGATGTATTTTCAATATGTTATGCAAATACGACATACGCTTTTTCCATACATTGCTTCCATTTTACCGTCAGACAAAAAAAGTGAGACCAGTGGTTAGACTTAAAAAATGAAAATTTTGTTATATTCGATAACAAAACGAGAATAAAATTGATTATGAGTTATTGGTGCACGCACTTCTTCCGTATCATTTTTCAAGTTCCGCACCTGAATACAAGAAAGAGCAGCAACTTACAAGAAAAGTGCCTATGCCTAACAACTCTGATTTGAATCCTGAACCGTTTGTTTTTCATTTCGCGCTCCCCCAAATGTTGCCCCTCATTCCCCCAATGTTTGCTTTTCCATTTTTGAATCAAGGGGCCCTCCCCAGTAATGAAATGATAAGACTAAGAAATAATCGTCAAGAAAATTGTGAGAGTTGTTACAGCGAACCTTTATAGGGTTTGATTTTATAAGGCTTTTCTTTGTTTATTATTTGTTGACATTGACTGTCAAAGGACCTCAATACAAGCGTAACTATCATCACAATCAATTTGTGTATCATTTTCATTGTTGATTCAGTTTAAATCAAAATTCCGTTTTGTAATAATTCGTGTATCAATGTTTTTGTTCCAATTGAAGAAAATGCAATTCATTTGAGAAAGCATCTCACTATCGAGGTACCTTCAAATCATTGAATATATTATTAAAGTGTTAAATTTTGAAATATTTTAATTTTTCATAGGTGTAAATGGTGGATGTGTCTTAAAACAGCATACAAAACGATCAATTGAATACGAAACATACTTTCTGCGTGAATTTTTCTCTTCCACCATGGCAAATCAATTGCATACAACGAATAATTCAATCGTAACAAATACGACAGGAATATTGTATTTAGAACGAAACGAGACGGGTGACGTTGTATTCCACGTTGAATCGGAAGAAATTCGAGCTCATCGATGTGTAATGGCCGCTATCAGTCCAAAATATAAAATTCAATTCTACGGACCGAGACCAGATGAAGGCGATATCCATGTGGATGACGTATCAGCATCTGCGTTCAAAGAGTTTTTACAATTTTTCTATTTGGAAGAAGTTTCGATGACAGAGGAAAACATTGCGGATGTTTTAAATTTGGCAAAACAGTCACTTGTCGATGAATTTGTCGAAAAATCGATCAATTATCTTAATGAACTTATATTGAATATGGGAAATGTATGCAAGGTTTATGGTCTGGCCATCTTACATGATCTGAAAAATTTAAAAGAG